GTGGTTGCTGGGAATTGAACTCAGGACCTTTGGAAAGGCAGCCAAAGCTGCTCTTCACCTCTGAGCCATCTCTCCAGCCCTGTTTGTTTGTTTGTTTCTTTTTTTGAGACAGGGTTTCTCTGTGCCGCCTTGGCTATCCTGGACTCGCTTTATAGGCCAGGGTGGCCTCTAACTCAGAGACCTGCCTGCCATCGCCTTCTTGACTGCTGGGATTATAGCTGTGTACCACCACCTAGTTTAGTTATTCGTAAAACATTTATACAGAGGTGGTGGCTCATGCCTGTAATACTGGAACTTAAGACCTTTGTGCCTTAACTTCCAGTTACTTGGATTATGGGTGTATGCCATCATGCCCTGGATCTTTATAAGAAAAAGTACATAATAGCTCTAAAAGGCTAACTGATAAGAATAGGTTTTATAGATGGAAGAAAGAAAGAGAGGATAGCAGATTTGAGGTCAATTAGGGCTACTTAGAAAGACCCTGTCTCAAAACAAAACACACACACACAAAAACAAAGCTAAGGACTGGGGTTGATGGTTCAGTAGGTAAGAGCTTGATCTGCAAGCACAGTGACCTTAGGATATATCCCAGTACCTATGTAAAAAGCTAGGCATGGTTGTTCATGGCTGTAACTGTAACATTTGGGGCTAGTGGACAGGTGAATTCTTGGGCTTCACTAGCTGCCAATCTAGACTCTATTTTTTTTTAAAGATTTATTTATTATTATTTATACAGTATTCTGCCTGCATGTGTGCCTGCATACTAACTAGAAAAGGGCACCAGACCTCATTATACATGGTTGTGAGCCACCGTGTGGGTGCTGGGATTGAACTCAGGACCTCTAGAAAAACAGCTAGTGCTCTTAACCACTGAGCCATCTCCAGCCCTCTGGACTCTATTTTAAGCAAACTTTTTTCTTTGTTTGTTTTTAATTTTAGTTTTAGTTTTATGTACGCTGGTGCATGTATGTCTGTAAGAGGGTGTCGGATCCCTGGAACAAGTTACAGACAGCTGTAAGCTGCCATGTGGGTCCTGAGAATTGAACCTAGGTCCTCTGGAAGAACAGCTAGTGCTATTAACCACTGAGCCATCTCTCCAGCCCTAAGCAAACAGATTTGTTTTGGTTTTGTTTTGTTTGTTTGTTTGTTTTGAGACAGAATTTCTTTGGGTAGCCTTGGCTGTCCTGGACTCACTTTGTAGGCTAGGGTGGTCTCGAACTCACAGAGAACTGCCTGCTTCTGCCTCCAGAGTGCTGGGATTACAGGTTTACTAAAGTCAGCTAAGCAAACAGTTTTAAGGCAGGGAACAGTAGAGGAAGTGTCTTCTGATCTATACTTACGTGCACAAAGTGTGCACAGACAGACAGAGAGAGAGGCAACCCTCTTAAATTTATTTTACATGTATGAGTGCTTTGCTTGCCTGTACATGTATGGTGTGTGTGCCTGACCTGCAGAGGTCAGAAGAGGTTGTCAGATGCATCCTTTGGAACTGGAGGTGTACTGTAAGCCATTATATGGGTGCTGCAGAACCCAGGCTTCATGAGAGCAGCTCATGTTCTTAACAGCGAGGCCATTGCTCTAGCCCCCTAAAACAGTTTTTTTTTGGGGGGTAGGAGGGAGATTTTATTCACAGGTTTATATAAATTTACTATTTAAGCCAGGCATCATGGCTTACACTTGGAATCCCAACCTTTAGGAAGCTGACGCAGGAGGATTGCTGTGACCTTTCAGGGTAGCCTGAGCTGTGTGAGACCATGTCTCTGTCCCTCAATAAAATAAATACTAAATTAATTTTTCTTGCTATTTTTTCTTACATGTGTAAAAATATGTAATTAAATGTTTTTCTAGTTCATATATAGACAAACCTTCTTCAGCATTACCCATGCTGATAAAAATGTTTGCTTCTTTTGTCTAAGAATTTAACCGGTAAGTTAGTTGGTAGTTTCTGTTTATTTTATTTTATTTTATTTTATTTTATATTTTATTTTATTTTATATTTTATTATTTTATTTTTCAAGACAGGGCTTCTCTGTATAACAAACCCTGGCTGTCCTGGAACTTTGTAGACCAGGCTGGCCTCGAACTCATAAAAATCTGCCTCCCTTTGCCTCCCAAGTGCTGGGATTAAAGGCCTAGCTAGTGTAAAATTTTAAGACGGAATAAATTTGATTAGAGTTACTTAGAGGAGCTTGCATGAAAGGCTAATTTTACGGGAGCATGGGTGATTTATCAGGGGCTACACCACTAAAAAGAATCCCCCCCCCCAAGCCATTAACAGTGTAAATCCTGTAGGAGTAATGTGACCTCATGAGTATTAATAGGTTCAATCTTGTGCAAGTCTTCTGCAGGAAATTGCAGTGGAGGGCGGGGGGAAGTGAAGGGATGGCAAGAGAGAAGACTGAAAGAGAGGAGAGAAAGGGGATAAGAGGAGAGGGAGAGAGAATAACAGCCAGTAGCCATGTCATGCCTGGAAGACAGCACTTTTCACAACACTTTGTCTTCTTCTACAGCTCTTTCATTCTTTCTACCCCCTTCCTTGATGTTCCCTGAGCCTTGGTGGGGTGATACAGATAGCCTATTTAGGACTAAGCATTCAGCAGTCACTTACTCTTAGCAGTAAGTATGAGGCTCTGCAGTAATGGCTAACCACTGGAAGAAGAAGCTTCTCTGACCAAATATTTAGAAGGCAATTTGACAGGTGCACCTTGTCTGTCTTCCTGCCTGCCTATCTGTCTGTCTATCTATTTATGGTTTTTCTTTTTAGTTGTTGAATGTTATTTTATGTGCATTAGCCCTGGAATTGGGGTTACAGACAGTTGTGAACTGCCATGTGGGTGCTGGGAATTGAACCTGGGTCCATTTGGAAGAGCAGACAGTGCTCTTTACCACTGAGCCATTTCTCCAGCCCCTATCTATGGTTTTTCGAGACAAGGTTTCTCTGTGTAGCCTTGGCTGTTTTGGCCTCGCTTTGTAGACCAGGCTGGCCTCGAACTCACAGAGATCTTCCTGCCTCTGTCTCCCAGAGTACTGCAATTGCAGGTGTGTGCAACGGCGCCCAGCTCATGTCTATTTTTTTTTTTTTTTAAACAATAGCATTATCTTCCCCACTAAGGTCTATGAGCTCTTCTGTCTTAGGCCTTTGACCAGGTTTACAGTGCCAGCTATGAATTTTCTCCTGTGGAATGGACCATAGACTATAACAGTTCTGATTCTGTTGCATTGCCTGGTAGGTGGGTAGTTTAGCGCAGAGGGAGTCCATATCTGAATAAGACTGCTGGTAATAATTCTCCCCATCAGCCAGCATAGTACATTTTTTTGGGACTGTGAAATCTAGCTAGGAGGGAAGAAACTTGTGGCTTAGTTACAGCTTGATTTCCACCTCCGATCTCCAAACACCCGATATGTCTGGCCATCACAGTGTGGTGTCTTCAGTAGTGGGTATCTTGTTTGGATGGTCACCCAACTTTCATGGCAATAGCCTGTATTGGGAGCTACAGAGTCTTACTAGCCCATATCTCCTAGAGAAGAAGGCTCACCTCGGAACTAGGATTTTTATTCAATAATATAGTAATATGGCTTCTGGGAATGGTTTTATCCACCCACAGGATACTTCTACTCAAAACGTTGACTTATTATCAAATCATTTTGTTTTGAAATTTTAATGAGTATATGTATGATGCATAGGTGAGATTGTACGTGTGCATGTCATACATGTAGAGATCAAAGGACAGCTTTGTTAGAAGTTGGTTCTCTCCACCTTCACGTAGGAATCTGGGGCTCAAACTCAGGTTGTCAGGCTTCATGGCAAGAGCATTATCCCTTGAGCCATCTTGGTTTCATGTTAGCATAGTAGTGCTGAGGGTTGTCATTGGTAACTTAGCTATCGACAAGATAATGAAGAGGCAGTACTCGGCTCCAAGATAAGGTTTTGTAACTTAGTCTTATGATAAGATGATTTTATTTGCTCCATAATATGCAGGCTTTTTCATAGAAATATTTTAATCTGCTCTTGTATATTCTTTTAAAAACTGTGACCTGATGTAGAAATGAAGACATAAGGGATAATAGAAAAGATATTATGAGAGTTTTAAAAGACCTGATATAAGGGATGGAGAGATGGCTCAGTAGTTAAGAGCACTGTGGGAGGGGAGGAGGACCTCCCCTATCAGTGGACTAGGGAAGGGGCATTGGAAGAGAGGGAGGGAGGGCGGGATTAGGAAGGGAACAAAGGAGGGGGCTACAGCTGGGATACAAAGTGAATTAAGTTGTAATAAAAAAAAAAAATCACCATGTCCTCTTCCAGAGGACTTGAGTGAGGTTAGGTTCTTAGCATTCACGTTTGTAACTCACATCTAACACCCTTCTCTGGCCATCACAGGCAACAGGCATGTATAGATTGCACATAACATACATACAGACAAAATACTTACACACATAAAATAAAAATAAATCTTTTCCTAAAAGACCTGATTTGGATGTTGCTGGCTATAACTTTGAAAAATAATTGGGGGTGGGGGGAAGAAGGGGAAGGGCCGTAGTTTTGAGACAAGGTTTCTCTGTGTAGACCTGGTTGTCCTGTAACTTTCTATAGACTAAGCCTGACCTTGAACTCAGATTGGCCTACCTCTGCCTCCTGAGTGGAGATTAAAGGTGTGTGCCACCACTGCCTGGTTTGTGCTTTGTTTTCTGTATTAATAAAAAAAAGCTGGGTTTGACTGGACATTCTTGTAATCCCAGTATTTTGCAGGCGAGGCAGAAAATTTATTGTGAATTAGACTAGCTTGAGCTGATATAGCAGGACCCTGCCTCAAATAAGTAAAAAGTTAACAAAATAGTCCTTGGCTATAGCCTTGTAGAGAGACGAGGACAGTGTCAGCAACAGTGGCTCCCTTGGATGAACTTTAGACTCTGGTTCTTGTGCAAACAGCTGAGAGGCTCTAGAAATATTTTTCATGTTTCATTTGCAGTGTTCATAAGAAACTTTTCTTTGCCCCTAACAGGCAGTTTCAGTGGTGCAGAATGGCGGACCTCAGTCTTGTGGATGCATTGACCGAGCCACCTCCAGAGATTGAGGGAGAGATAAAGCGAGACTTTATTGCCACACTGGAGGCAGAGCCCTATGATGACATTGTGGGAGAAACTGTGGAGAAAACTGAGTATATTCCTCTCCTGGATGGTGACGATAAAACTGGGAACTCAGAGTCCAAGAAGAAACCATGCTCAGACACTAGCCAGACTGAAGGTAAGTGTTTAAGCTAAAAAGCATATTTATGTGTAGAGTGCAGACCAGGGTCATGACCACTGAGGTTTTGATGTAGGCTAGCTAAGTGTCTATCAGAAATCAAGGATGGCCAGGCAGTGGTGGTGCCGCATGTCTCTAGTCCCAGCACTAATGGCAGAGGTAGGGGATTTCTGAGGGCCAGCCTGGTCTACAGAGTGAGTTCCAAGGCAATCATGGCTACACAGAGAAACCTTATCTTGGAACAAACAAAAAAACAAGAGAAATGAAGGAGGACAGACACATTGCTCTTTGGTCAGATTGGTGCTGATAAAGCTGGAGAAGACATAATCCCAGTGTCTTCTGTAATGTTTCATCTACTGTCTAGCTGGTGTCATAACTTCCTCTGTTAAAATTTCTGCTGTTTCTTTTATTTGAACTTAGCTTTGCGAAGTTAAATACATTAAATTTGTGCTTATATTCCAGCTTATGTTAGAATAAGATTATTGGGGTGTTCTGAAGTAAAACACAGTTAAAGCCTTTAAAAATTTAAAGTTTTCTTTTTTTTTTAATTCTTAAATTAGCTTTGTTGATACTTGACTGTGGATTTTTTTTTTTGTGTGTGTGTGTGTCTATATTTAAGAGAGGTATTGATCTTTAGTTGTCTAGTCATTTGTATGTATATCTGGTTGTTTGTTTAGGATTTGAAACAGAGTCTCATTCTGTAACCAAGCTGCCCTGAAAATCATTGTTTATCCCATTTTGGCCTCCCTTGCCAGCACTGGAATTACAAGCTCAGCACCACTTTTTTATGGAGCTGGCATTGTGAGTCAACATGCTACTTTTTTTTTTTTTTTTTTTTTGGTTTGGTTTTAGAATTGAAATCATGCAGACTTCAAAATGAGTTGTCTGCCATTGAAGTTTGAGGTGTACTTGAGCTGTTGTCTGAAAATGAAATGAAACAAAATAAAAGAAAAGCATAATATAATAGATCAGCAAACAAAACATGAGTTGGGGAAGTGTTCCATTTACATCCATCTTCTAGAGTCATTATATAAAATTGTTATTTTTTTATTGTTTGATTGAATTTATCATTGATCCTATCTGTGCCTAGTTTGTGTCTAGGGATTAAATTTCTTCATGAGATAATAGAGGAATGAGGGTGTAGCTTAGTTTACAGTATATGAAGCTCTGGGTTGGGTTTGAACCCCATATAACTACCGTGGTTGTGCATATACCTGTAGTCCTAGCACTTGGAAGGTGAAGATGGGCTCAGAACTTAAGGGTTTGAAGCTTTTGCTTCAATTGTCAGGTTCCAAGACTGAGCTACATGTGACTATTGGGGGAAGGGAGGAGGATGATGAAATCGTACTTAGTATTTAGTAAATAGTATTTAGGTTATGTTTCTCCTTATTTGAGGTGGTGTGTGTGTTCTCTGCATGCGGAGGCCAGGGAACAATGTTGGCTGGTGTGGTTTCTTGAGCACCCTTCTGCATGCCATGCAGAAGTCAAAGGATAACTTACAGGGGCCAGTTTTTTTTTTTTTTTTTCCTTTGTGGACCCTAGAGATTGAACTCAGGTCATCATGTTTGGTGGCAAGTGTCTTTTTCACTTAGCTATCTTACTGGGCCAGTTTTTATTTTTTTTGTTTTAGTTTTTGAGACTAGGTCTTTCATTGGCTTAAAACTCACCAAATATGTAAGACTGCTAAGCTCTAGAAATTTGCCTCTTCCTTCCTTCCTTCTTCCTTCCTTTTTCCTTCCTTCTTCCCAGCACTGGGATTAAAAGCTCAAACCACTATACCTGCTATTTTATTTTGGTTCTGGATGTCTAACTCTGGCCCTTGGTGTCAAATCAAGCATTTTACCACCTGAGATGTTTCCCAGCCCTCTAATTCTCAGCTCTCTTTTTTTGTGTTGTTGAAGTGAGAGTGACTTTCTATAACCAAAGTAGAAAACTTGCTGCCTTTGTGTATACTTTATGGGGGAGACATACAGCCCATCAGGTGAAAGAATTGAGAGTATAGGATCTTATATTCACAGAAGTATTTCTCCAAGGAAAATTTGGATTTCTTAATGGAAAATAGTTCACAATGGTCCTTTGACTGACTCACATGAAAATAAAGGATATTCAGTAGGAAGGAAGGAAATGTTAAGGGATAACTATTGTAGTAGCTAATGGTAGCTAAGAGTTCCTTCTCCCACCCCAATAACTGATGGCCATCATAGTTTGCTTGAAGAAGCTTGCTTTTTTTCCTTTTCTGTTTTCTTAGACCTGTTTCACAGTCTAAGAGCTGATCTGGATGGGTAAGGACAGGGAAGTAGTGGAAATAGGTTTTCTTGTTGTGTTTCATATATATATATATATATATATTTTTTTTTTTTTTTTTCAGAGTGTGGGGGTTTTTGAGATAGGGTATCTATATATATGTCAGTAGTCGTCTGTAGACCTGGCTGGCCTCTATCTCACAAAGATCCTCCTGCCCCTGTCTCCTGAATGTTGGGATTAAAAGTCTGTGCCACAACACCTGGCTGTACCTCATGTTGTGTGATTTGATAAGGATAATATTAACTTGTCTCCAGAAAAGGAAGGTTTTTAGAATCACTCCCAAATTTTTCAGTAGTGAGGATTGAACCACAGCTTCAGACTGGTCTTGAGTTTGTTTGTAAAATCTTATAATTTTTTGTTTGTGTTTATGCATGTAATATGGCATGCTTATAGGGAGTCAGGGCTTCCCTCCTAACACAGGGTCTGAAATATTGAGCTCGGGTTGTCTTGCTTAGTGGCAAGCGTCTTTACCCTCTGAGCTATTTGGCCTGCCCTTATTTTATAATTTTTCTAAATTTATTTGTGTCTGATTTTTGTAAAATATTATTTTTTTCAAAATGATAGGTTTTTTGATAGTGTTTTTCCTGGAGAACATTTTGAGATGAGTTTTTATTTTATTTTCTTAAATGGAGAGATATGGCTTAGTGGTTAAGAATACTGGCTGCTTTTCTAGAGGACCTGGTTTCCAATTCCCAGCACTCGCATGTTCTGTAGTTATATGTAATTCCAGTTTCAGGTATTCAATGTCCTTTTATGTCCTCTACATGTGGTGCTTAAACATACATGCGGACAAAACACCCACACATGTAAAATAATAATAATAATAATAATAATAATAATAATAATAATAATAATAA